CATCATCATCATCATCATCATCATCATCATCATCATCATCATCATCATCATCATCATCATCATCATCATCATCATCATCATCATCATCATCTTCATCTTCATCTTCATCTTCATCTTCATCTTCATCTTCATCTTCATCAGCATCATCGTCGTCATCTTCATCATCATCGTCATCGTCATCGTCATCCTTATCAGCTTCGCCTCCGCGGGCCTGCCCTGCCCCAGCATACCCCGCTCTGCCGTCCGCCCCCCTCTGCCAGCTCCCACAGGCACCCCCTCGCGCCAGTCTGCTGCCGAGTGCACCTGGGACACCCTCGCCCAGCCTGGCAGATGGCACTACGAGGCCATCCGTTCATGTGCGCATCAAAACACGAAGCTGGGGAGCCCGAGGCTGCGCACAGGACGCCCTGTCCACAAACAGGTGTGGACACGTGGCCCGCAGACCCGCGCATGCCAAGGATAAGATTTGACGGCGTGCCCAAGACTCCAACGACAGTCCTTAGAGGAAATCGCAAACCTTGGCTTCCCCGACTCCTGGACCCGACCGAATACTTTTTCGGGACGGCCCCAGTGCTGATCGATTCCCTTATGAGGACGCCACTCGAGTGGGCTCGAATCAATCACTCTGTCGCTGGCTCTTGCTGGCGCCCGCGCGGCAGCCAAGTTGGTGGAAACAATATTCCCCCTGGGCGATTAGCCATCAGGTCGGGAATCGACTGTGTCATGATCGAAAGACGCTCGGCACGGCTACAGAAGAACGATTATGTGTGCTCTTGGGCGTCAGCATCTCAAGATCGCACGTTCCCTGACGCGCGTTCTGACGAACGGCTCCACGAGGGCGGAGGACAAGGAAGAGCGAGCCAAAAATAAGAACAGAGACCGACCGCCGATGGTAAAGATCTCCCACGCAGTCTTCACTTGCCTGTCGAGAGCTCGATGATCTCGAGAACGTGCGCCCGCACCAGCCTGAGCTTGTCAACCGACGCCCTTCGATGCGACGCAGGCGGCGCAACGAGGGGCGACGCAGGCTGCGTGCTATCGATGGAGCCGCCGGGAGCACCGCTGGGAAATGCCGGACAAGCGCACCGCGGCCACGGCCCCTGCGACGCGCCCTGCTGTGCAGGCGGGCAGCGTGCCGCTCCGCTCGCGGGGCGGGGAGAAGGCCGGGCACGGGCCCGGGGCGCGAGGCCCCCGGGCGCCGCGGAGTGGACAGCACGTCGCGCCGAAGCGCGGTGGGCCAGAGCCGGCGAAGACACGTTTGCTTTGCGCCGGCGGCCAGGGGAAGGTAATTACCCCCTGAGGGGCAACGATGGGGGGGACCCGCTCAGGGGGGGAAACACATCGAGCTGGAATCGGCGATACATCGCCGATGCATCTGCGATGGGCCCCCGACAGCAAAATCCGCACGCTCCTGGGTGGGGTGGGCTGCAAGGCCGCCATCGGCGATGAGGGGGCGACGGTGGGTCGATGCGTCCCCCCCTGGGCTTATGTCGGGCCTGTCCCCCATACAGGGGGATTCTCGACGAAAAATAACGAATACCCCAGAAACAGTCAAAACATGGTCCAAAAATCATCCGGGGACTGTGTTTTGCATATTTTTTGGCCTTCTTGGGGCATGTTTGGGGTATTTCTTATGTTTCGTCGAAAATCCCCCTGTAGGGGGACACGCCCGACAGAACCCTGGGCCCATCCCCCCCTATCGTTGCCCCTGACCCCCCGAGACGTCAGGCCAGCGCCGCCTCAGTTGGCGACGGAGCGCGTCGACGTGGCTCGGAAAAACGGGACCCGTCGCGCTCCTCCGCGTGCCTCAACCCAGAATGCCCCCGCTGCCGCGACTCCGGGCCGGGGCGCTCCGAAGGAGAGGGCGAGGCCCCCCGCAGGAGCTCCTGCGAGGACCAGCGGGCCCCTCCGGCTCCCGAGCGACGGGCCGCGGCCCGAAGGGTTTTTTTGCAATCCTTCGGTTTTTTCGCAATCCTTTGTGCAATGCTTCGTTTTTTTGCAATCCTTTTTTTTGCAATCCTGGGTTTTTTTGCAATCCTCCGCCGCGCGCCGGCCCCGCGCGCCTTGTCCGTCTTCGCGTGGACACCGCCGGGGGCGATCGGGCCGAAGCGGGTGCACATGGCGTAGAGGTCGAGGTCGACGGTGTCCGCCGGCAGGCCCTGCGGCGGAGCGGGCACGGCGCGGAGGGGGCGGAGAGCGCGGGCGCGGCGCGCCGCCCCGCGGGCTCCGCGAGAGGCGTGCCGAGCGTGTGGGGGAGGAGGAGGGGGAGGAGGAGGAGGAGGAGGAGGAGGAGGAGGAGGAGGAGGAGGAGAAGGAGAAGGGAGGAGGAGGAGGAGGAGGAGGATTTTTTTTGTTGCAGGGCAGGGCGGGCGCACACAGCGGGGGCTCGACCACAGGAGGCCTGCCAGGAGAAGCCCCAACCCCGAGGCCCCAGGACGTCCACCGAGGTTTGTTTGGCGCGGGGACGCCTCCCAGAATGATCAGGACCCTCGGAGCCTAAGAAACCCAGGGCACCCTGGGGGCAAGCAGGGTGCCTCTTGGCACGGGCTTCCACCGCACGCAAGCCGGAGAGACGGAAAGGCAAGAGACGAGACGCTGCAGTGCGCGCCAGGGCGTGGCCCTGTTGAGATAGCGCAGCGGGGGGGGCCGTGGCCCCGCAGACGCCTTCAGGTCGGAGCGGGTGCCTTGAGAGACGCTGCCTTATCTTTAGGTCGGGCATGTCCCCCTACAGGCGGATGCTGGGCGAAACATTACAAGGAGTCCACCAATAGATTCAAAGAATGCTCAAGGATACTTTTCAAAATCCTCCCCAGACTAGAGGGACAGGCCCGACTTAACCACATCTTCGACTAAGGAGATCTCTCGGACGCGTTTTTGGGACTCGGTGCAGGCCTGTCAGAGCAGGCCGAAGCTCGGGCTGCAACAGATGCGAGCGCGGCTGGGTGGGCCGAAACGGCCGCCCAGTATGCGGACAAAGCCACAAGGGGAGCGCACCTCTGCGGCAGGGCGAACACCACCGCCAGCATGGTATCTCTGGGAGGGGGGGGAGGGGGCACGAAGTGGGAGCTGGTTCTCTTCACTCTGGGCAGCTGGCCGTATGACGCGTGAGAGGCTGCGGATCCCAGCACGGACTGAAAGAGCAGAGCTGGGCCAGCTGCGGGCGCCGACCACCGGTTCCGACAGCATAGCGCTTCTATGTTTCACGAGAAAGACCGTTACCAGCCCCAGTCCCCCCCCACCCAGGTAACGTCACGGTTCGTGCTGGCCTCCAGGTTGGCTTCGGCTATTCCTGGACGTTCCTAAACGCCGCCAGCGCGAAACGCGACGTTATCGGCCCCGCCTCCCCCTCCTCCCCCTGGTAACGCCCGCTGTCGCGCGGGAATCAAAAAAACGCTCGAGGAGGAGGAGGAGGAGGAGGAGGAGGAGGAGGAGGAGGAGGAGGAGGAAGAGAGGGAAGGAAAGGGGAGGGAGGGAGAAGTAGGAGCGAGGGGGAGGGGGAGGGGGGGGGAAGTGGGAGGGGGAACAGTGGCCATGGCCACCACCAAGGCTGCCATGACGACCACAACCACCACAAGCCACCGTGACTACCACGGCGGCGACTGCATCTCTGTCCCCCTCTTCTCCTCCTCCTCCTCCTCCTCATTCCCTCCTCCTCCTCCTCCTCCTCCTCCTCCTCCAATCCACTCGAACAGACGCAGAGTTCTGAGCCGAATCGGAGCCCAGGCATTTGGGGCATCTTGACGGACGGCAATACGCAAGAGTGACCCTTGGCAAGAGTGGACTCTGGTGCGCAGCGTGGGGGGGCGCGGGGGGGAACGAACCCAAGCACCCAAGCTGGCGCTGTCGCGTCGCATCACCAATCGGCAAGAAGCATCTTCATCATGGCGCTGTCGCGTCGAATCACCAACCGGCGATAGTCATCCTCATCATCAGCATCGTCGTCATGATCACCACCACCACCCCATTATCATCATCATCATCATCATCATCATCATCATCATCATCATCATCATCATCATCATCATCATCATCATCATCATCATCATCATCATCATCATCCTCATCCTCATCCTCATCCTCATCCTCATCCTCATCCTCATCCTCATCCTCATCATCCTCATCATCATCATCATCATCATCAGCATCATCATCATCATCATCGCCATCAGCAGCAGCATCATCATCAGCATCATCATCATCATCAGCAGCAGCAGCATCAGCAGCATCATCATCATCATCATCATCATCATCATCATCATCATCATCATCATCATCATCATCATCATAATCATCATCATCAGCATCATCATCAGCATAATCACCATCATCAGCATCATCATCAACATCATCATCACAACTACCATGATCATCATCACCACCACCACCATCATCATCAGCATCATCATCAGCATCATCACCATCAGCAGCAGCACCACCACCATCATCAGCATCATATCATCAGCAGCATCATCAGTATCACCATCATCATCACCATCATAGCCATCATCATAAGCATCATCATCATCCTCATCATCTTCATCAGCATCATCAGCGGCATCATCACCATCCTCATCAGCGGCAGCATCATTTCAGAATATTCCTCATGATCATCTCCACCACCACCACCATGAATATTATCATCATTAGCATCACCACCATCATCAACAGCATCAGCATCATCATCGTCATCATCAGCAGCATCCTCATCAGCACCACCACCATGATCACCGCCACCACCACCATCACCATCACCATCATCAGCATCATCAGCATCATGTGGGACCACCCATCATAAGGTCGCGTGGCAGCTCGGCCACGTCATGGTTGTATTCCCCAGCGTCGTAGAGAACATCGGGATGGCTGGCTCTTCGTGACGACGACGGCGGCGGCGACAGCGACGACGAGGGCAACGATCGAGATGTTTGCACGTCATGTTTGCTTGTCGGGGGCTCTGGGGGGGGGCCCTCGTGCCCGCGGCTGGCTCCGAATCGGAACGCTGG